AGGTGTTAATTCTCTAAAAAGACAATAATTTTCAATATGTATGTGCCTAACAATAGATGTTAAAATATGTGAGGCAAAAACTGATAGAACCACAAGGAAAAATAGACAAATCTGTTATAGCCAGAGACTTCAACATCCCTTAATAGATCAAGCTGCCAAGAGATCAGGAAGGATATAATTGACCTGAAAACACTATCAATCAACTTAATAACATTAAGAGCGCTTTATCCAAAAACACCAGAATGTTTGTTTTTCTCAAGTTCACATAGGACATTAATCAATCTAGAACCCATTCTGGGAGTTAAAACAACAGTTTAACATTCAAAATATGTTATCAGACCACAATGGGATTAACCTAGAAATAACAAAAAGATAAATGGAAAATCCCCAGATATTTGGATATTAAACAATATATTTCTTTTATTTATTTATTTGTTTGTTTATTTATTTATTTATTTATTTATTTATTTATTTATTTTTGAGACGGAGTCTCGCTGTGTCTCCCAGACTGGAGTGCAGTGGCGCGATCTCGGCTCACTGCAAGCTCCACCTCCCGGGTTCACGCCATTCTCCTGCCTCAGCCTCCCGAGTAGCTGGGATTACAGGTGCCCGCCACCATGCCCGGCTAATTTTTTATATTTTTAGTAGAGACAGGGTTTCACCATGTTAGCCAGGATGGTCTCTATCTCCTGACCTCGTGATCCACCTGCCTCGGCCTCCCAAAGTGCTGGGATTACAGGCGTGAGCCACCATGCCCGGCCAAACAATATATTTCTAAATAACATATGGGTTAAATAGGAAATCTAAAAAAAAATTAAAAATACTTTAAATGAAAATAAAAATACTACTTATCAAAATTTGTAAGATGCAGTAAAAGCAGTGTTCAGAGGAAAAATCTATAGCACTAAATGCCTATATTAGAAAAGATGAAAGATTTAAATCAATAAGCTTCTACCTTAAGATACCAGAAAAAGAAATTTAGGAATTCCAAGGAATGCAGACTGTAACCTGAAAATTAACTGTATTATAAGTGTATCTATGCAAACATAAGAATTGACAGTGCACACACTTGATAAGATGTGACGAAAATGGCACCTTACCTCTGGGAGCTTTCTGCCAATCCATAACCCCAGTCTAATAATGAGAAAACCATCACACAGGCTCTGAGAGAGGGTAATTCTACAAAATGCTTGACGCCTCAAAGTAGTCTAAAAGTTATCAAAAACAAGGTAATTCTGATAAATTATCACAGCTAAGGGAAGCCTAAGTAGACATCACAAGTAAATGCAGTATGATATTCTGGTAGGCACCCTGGTATAGAAAAATACATTAGGTAAAAACTAAGGAAATCAAAATGAACTGTGAACTTTAGTTATGAAAAGTGTATTGAATTTGGTCTATTAATTTTAAGAAATGTATTATGTTAATGTATGATGTTAATAATAGAAAAAAAAAAACTAGAGAAGAAAGTACCTAAGAACTCTGTACTGTCTTTTCCATTTTTCTGTAAACCTAAAACTGTTCTAAAAAACAGTATCTTAAAAAAAAGTGGTTTTTCTATATATCTTCAATAAACTCATGGAAGAGAAACACTTGAATATAGCATTTACAACGGCTCATCTCCCCATTAAAAAGGAAGAAAAGTATATGTAGAAATAAATACATTAAAAGGTTTATAAGACCTCTCCACTAAAACCTGCAAATATTTCTGAGAAAATTAAAGACTTAAATAAAAGGAAAGATATAACATACTCATAGACAGGGAAAGGCATAAAGATGTCAGTTCTCTCCAAGCTAATTTTTAGATTCAGCACAAACCTAGCCAAAATTCAACCAGTTTTAAAAGAATTTTTAATTGTGAAAATTGACAAGCTGATTCTGAAAAAAGTCAAGATAATGAACAGAAGACTTACCTCTGTTCCAGATGTAAAGCTAAAGTAATACGATGTGATATTGATTTAAGGATAAGAATATACAATAAAATAGTGATTTAGAAAAAGACACACAAATACAGTCATCTGAGATATATATATATAAAAATATACAAATAAAACAGTGCATAAGATTAGAGAAATATGATCTTTCCAACAAAAGATGCTGTGTCAATTGGATATCCATGTGGAAAAATTATATATTGTATATTGACCCCTACCTAAGACTGGAGACAAAAACCTATTTCAAATGCATTGAAGATTTAAATGTGAAAGATAAAATACAGCAAAACACAGCTTTTTTTTTTTTTTTCCTGAGACAGGCTCTCATTTTGTCACCCAGCCTGGAGTGCAGTGGTGCAAACTCAGCTCACTGCAACCTCTGCCTCCTGGGCTCATGTGATTCTCCCACCTCAGGTTCCTGAGTAGCTGAGACTATAGATATGTACCACTATGCTTGTCTAATTTTTTTTTTTTCTTTTTTTGAGATGGAGTTTCGCTTTTGTTGCCCAGGCTGGAGTGCAATGGCGAGATCTTGGTTCACCGCAACTTCTGTCTCCCAGGTTCAAGCCATTCTTTTGCCTCAGCCTCCCGAGTAGTTGGGATTACAGGCATGCACCACCACCTCAGCTAATTTTGTATTTTTAGTAGAGACGGGGTTTCTCCATGTTGGTCAGGCTGGTCTTGAACTCCCCACCTCAGGTGATCCATCTGCCTCGGCCTCCCAAAGTGCTGGGATTACAGGCGTGAGCCAATGTGCCCAGCCCATGCTTGTCTAATTTTTAAATTTTGTGTAGAAATGAAGTCTCACCATATTGCCACAGCTAGCCTCAAACTCCAGGACTCAAGCAATCCTCCCACCTTGGTCTCCCAAAGTGCAAAATACAGCTTTTAAAAGAAAATATTGTAGAACATCTAAATGACTTTAGTAACCATATAAAAAAGCTTTAGGAGTTCACCCACCACTACACCTGCCTTACATGTAATGATAAAGGGAGTTATTCCAGTTAAAACGAAAGAATGCTAACAACATGAAAATATGAAAGTACAAAACTCACTATAAAGGTAAGAATATAGTTAAATTTAGGATATACTAAATACTATAAAGGTGGCACATAAATTAGACTTAATCCAGTGTAAAAATTTTTTTAAGTATTAAAAATTACTATAACTTCAAAAATTTGGTCATGGAAATAATATGTAAAAGATGTAAACTGTTATATCAATAGCATATGTGGAGGGGGTAGAGAAATGAAAATGTAGAGATTAGAATGGTGCTTACTAGGAGATTGAGGATGGAGGAAAAAGGAAATATAGTGATGTTGGTCAAAGGGTACAAACTTTCAGCTGAAAAGGAGCAATAAGTTCTGTAGATCTATTGTGCAACATAGTGACTATAGTTAATAATATAGTGTATATTTGAAAATTCCTAGGAGAATAGATTTTTAAGTGTGTCACCACACAGACAAAAAATAATAAATGTGTGAAGGGATATATATGTTAATTAGCTTGATTTAATTATTCCACAATATATACACATATCAAAACACCACATTGCACACCATAAAAATATATATATATATATATGGTCAATAAAAAGAATCTCAAACCAATAACCTAATCTTCCACCTTATGAAACTAGAGAAAGAAAAACAAACTGAATTCAAAAAAGCAAAGGAAGGAAACAATAAAGATTACAGCAGATATAGAAGGAGAAATAGAAAATAGAAACAAGCAAAACTGACTAAAAATAGGTAATGTGAATATAACTATAACAAGTAAAGAAATTGAGTTGGTAATAAAAAAATTTGTTACAAAAAAGAAGCCACCAGATGGTTTCACTGGTGAATTCTACCAAATGCTTAAAGAGGTAACACAAATTCTTCACAAATCCTAACAATAACAACAAGTAGAAGAGAAGGAAACACTTCTTAGCTCATTTTTTGAGGTCAGTATTACCTGGATACTGAAGCCAGACAAAAAATTCACAAGAAAATACTATTGATCAATATCTCTTGTGACTATAGATGCAAAAATCCTCAGTAAAATACTAGTAAACTAAACTCAGCAGCATATAAAAAAGAAATTTATACGTCGATCAAGTGGGATTTATCTCAGGAATGTAGATTTGGTTCAACAAATGAAAGTCAAGGGAATGCACCATAAGGGAGAAAAGCTTTTGATAATCTCAACACATGCAGACAAAGCAATTGACAAAATCTAACACCTTTATATGAAACATATACTAAAAACACCAAAAACAAAAACAAAAAAAAAAAAAACCCTAGTAATAGAAGGAAACTACTTTGAATTAACAAAGGGCATGTATGAAAAACCCATAGCTAACAGCATACTTAATGGTGAAAACAAAGTTTTTCCCTAAGATCAGGAACAAGACAAGAATGTCTGTTCTCCCTACCTCTATTAGACAATGTATTTTAAATTCTAGCCAGGCCAATTAGGCAAGATTTTTTAAAAGGTGAGGGATGGGGTGGGATACTGTTTGGAAAACAAGAAGTATATCTATTTGCAGATGACATGACCCTATATACAGAAACCCCTAAAAATCTACAAAAGGCCTATTAGAGCTAATATTAGGTTGGTGCAAGAGTAGTTGTAGTTTTTGCCATTACTTTTGCACTGTCCTATAAATGAGTTCACCAAGGTTATAGGATACAAGATCAATACAGAAAAATCAGTTGTACTTCTATACACTAGCAACGAACAATGCAAACATAAAATTAAAAAGCCAGTTCCATTGTGATTGCAAAAAAAAAAAAAAAAAAAAAGAATTAAATGACCAGGATTAAGTTTAACAAGAGAAGTGCAACGCAGTCCATTTGCTGATTTTTTTTTTTTTTTTTAGAATTTGTTGTTGTACTTTTTGCATCTGTAATTTTCATTTGACTTCTCTTTATATAACCTATTTTTTTCCCTGGAACTTTACTTTTTTGCCCAGAGTTTCTATTTTTTCATCTATTTTAATAGTGTTCGTAATTATTAGTATTTGCTGAAATATTTTTATGATGGCTATGTTAAAATCCTTTTTAGATAATTCTACCATCTGTGTAATCTTGGGGTTGGTGTCTTTTATTGTCCGTTCTCATTCAAGTTGGGATCACCTTGGTTCTTGGTATGATGAGTGATTTTCCATTTCTATTTGGGCATTGCAGATATTATAAGATACTGGATCTTATTTAAATGCCGGGTTTTACCAGGCATCCTCTGACACTGCTCTGGCAGGAGAAGTGGGGTCACCTCTTGTAGGCAAGGTGGAATAAAAGCTCAAGTTCTCTACTTAGTCTTCACTGACACACAGCCGAAGAACGGGTGTCTTCTTAGTGCTTAGGTAGGAGCGGGGCTTCAGGCTCATCACTAGGTCTCTGATGATAACCCCTGGATGGGAAAGAGAAGGGTGTCCCATTAGTGCTCCCTGCATGGTCTCCACTGATACCATGGGAGGTGGCTTACGTCTATAATCCCAGGACTTTGGGAGGCTGAGGAGAGGATGGCTTGAGGCCAGGAGTTTGAGACCAGCCTGGGCAACATAGCAAGACTCCATCTCTACAAAAAGAATTTAAAAATTAGTCAGGTGTGGTGACATGCCTGTAGAAGTATTCACCCAAATATTTGGGAGGTTCAGGTGTGAGGATTGCTTGAGTCCAGAGGTTTAAGGTAGCAGTGAGCTATGATCATACCACTACATTCCAGCCTGAGTGACAGAGTGAGATCCCATCTCTTAGACAAAAAAAGGAGAATGATTTTGGATTACAAGGATGTCCAGTGTGTGGTCATTGGAGTGTACTGCTAAAGAGAAATATTAGACAACATTTAAATTTCCTGTTTGATATATATATATCTCAATAATATATATATATCAAGTATATATATACATATATCAAGTATATATACACATATATACTTAAGACATATGTATATAAACAAATACATAATGTGGCAAATATTAGGTTTGCAACTTAATTAATTTTTAAATATATATCCACCTATGAACCATAACCCACACACAGATATGTGGTATTTCCAACAATGAGAATCTTTTTTTTTTTTTTGAAACGGTATCTCACTCTGTCTCCCAGGATGGAGTGCAGTGGTGCAATCTCGGCTCACTGCAACCTCCACCTCCTGGGTTCAAGTGATTCTCCTTTCTTAGCCTCCCAGAGCTAGGACTATAGGGCCTGCCACCATACTCGGCTAATTTTTGTATTTTTAGTAGAGACGAGGTTTCACCTTGTTGGTCAGGCTGGTCTCAAACTCCCGACCTCAGGTGATCCACCCTCCTCAGCCTCCCAAAGTGCTGAGATTACAGGCATGAGCCACTGCAACTGGCAGAGAATAGATTTTTTAAAGACCCAAGAAAAGGGGCAGCCTAGCAAGACAGAAACTTTTTCCAATAACTGCTCTACTTTAACCAAACACCACAGTAAAATGTTCACCCTCTCCCCTTTACCCACATACCAGCCAAGACTGAGTAGGAAGTTTAAACTTCAACCGTACCATACAAGATGCCAAAACCCTGCCTGTTCCCCCAACCCAACCAGAGCAGTATCAGAAAAGGCCTAGTGGGAGCTGGAACTTTCATAACAACCAGGTCATAAAGAGGCACCCCATGCCTCAGTGGAGACCATGTAGGGAGCCCGAACTTCTACTCCCATCCAGTCAAACAAATTACCTCATGCCTTCTTAGTCAGGGTAGTATCAGAGGAGACCAAATGAAGAGCTGGGAATTTTACCACCATTCACTTATAAACGTGTGGGTCGGGAGAAAGAGATGAAACACAGAGAACAGAACATTAAATACAATTTAAAATAACATTAAGATATTTTATGAGAGTAGGAATATGAAAAGTTGGCTCTATAGTAATAACTAAGTAATTTCAATTAAAATATTTTTTACATATTGTGTTTAGAAAAAACGAATGAGTATATCATTATTCTTGAAAATTTCCTCACATATATCCCAGAGTGAAAGTTCACCTTGTCATCTTGATTTCATTCTCTTACATGCCCAGAATATCCATTTACTTTTTTCCTAACCCAGCAACCTGCGTCTTCATATCTCTACCACACTATCTTATCCAGGAAACTTCCTTCTAGAGTTCTGGGAAAGCAGTGTCCAACAGCTCTTTGTCAGAAATCCACCGTCCCAAAGCCTTAAATTAACATAATGGTGTAATTTCAGTAGGTTCATTTTCACCCCCTATTTATTTATTTTTTAAAATAAACAAAACAAAACCTTAAGCCCTCAAATGCCTGAGGTATACGGGAGCAATGACGTTGTATTTCATCAACCAATCAAGTCAGAGATTATGGGCCTGAAGCTAACGGGTGCAGACTAGGGGCGAGCTTGGAGCATGTAACTGTCAGTGAGGTTGCAGTTGGTCTGGGCTGTTTGGCTGTGAGCGAAATAGCTGCCCCCCACTTCTCACTTGCACACCACGGGATAGTCCACCTGAGGCTCCGGATGGTGAGCTCTCCAGTCTCTAGTTTCCTTTTCTGGAAGTTGACCTTTCCTACTGGTACTTTCTCTCTCAGTCTCGCCTCCTAGAGGAACAAAGGCTCCCACAGTTTTCCAGCTGCAGATTCAGCCACTCGCTCTTGGAGCCTCCGCCTTTTTTGTGGCAGATTATGAAACACTTTCCCAAAGTTCAGCTAGCCTCTCGGTTTGAACTTCTACCCCCTAGCCGCTTGCCCTCCTCCGTTATGGTTTTTACATCAACTCTTTGTGAACTATCCAGTAACATGTGTTCCCTTTGCGTTACTGAAACTGAAAAGTCCAGCCCCTGGGGAAAGCTCACTGGTTCAGGGAATCGCCTCAGGTGTGTGGAGCTGATCCTGAGCCGGATGAAGGGCTCATTCTGAGTGCAGGGGCATTAGGAGGGCAATAACCCACCCACCTTCAGAGTCAGTAAGATGTCAGCGTTGTGTGGTGCGAGAGTTTACTAAGGAGACAGTCCAGCCCCAGGTACCAAAATAAATTAAACCAGTAAGCATGAGCTTTGTAGTTGTGAAGATTACTGAGACCCCACAGTGCCCTCTTCAGGATGCTTTCTTCAACGAATTCTTGCAAACCCTTCCATTGTGAAGGAAGAAAGACTGTTTCCATGTTCAGGAACACGGTAAATTAATATGACTTCCGGTTCATGAGACAACATTTCTCAATGTTGGCTGACTGACAAGGACAAATTCACGTCATTTTTGAGAGAGCAGTCATTAGTTTCCTCCACACACAAAGAGAATTAAGATTTTAGCTAACATGTTTATATATATTTGTGTGTGTATGTGTGTGTGTATATATATAATTTTTTTACATACATATAATTTTTTTAATGGAGTCTCACTCTGTCACCCAGGCTGGAGTGCAGTGGCGCAATCTTGGCTCACTGCAATCTCCGCCTCTTCAATCAATTCTCCTGCCTCAGCCTCCCACGTAGCTGGGATTATAGACACGTGCCACCACACCTGGCTAATTTTTTTTTTTTTTTTTTGATTTTTAGTAGAGACAGTTTCACAGTTTTGTCCAGACTTGTCTCGAACTCCTGATCTCAAGTGATCCATCCGCCTAGGCCTCCCAAAGTGCTGGGATTACAGGCTTGAGCCACTGTGCCCAGTCAGCTAACTTACTGATAAATTAATGCAGAGGACCTTTGTGATAACCAGTATTTTTTTCCTTAATGAGATTTGGACTCACAGACTTTTACAAAGCTGTCAAAAGTCAGCTTAAGATGAAGAGTTTTAATTACATTGAAAGCCTGTTTATTCTCATCGCTATTTCTTTACCCATACATTTAACATATTAAGCTACAGTAATGCTAGTATTTTAAAAACTATTTTAAAATAACATCTATTCTGAAATAAAGATTTCTTATGAGATTTTGGAGTAGGGGTTGGGGAAGCCAAATGGTATTTATCACATATGCATAGCCAGAGAGATAAATTGTGTTGAATTTGATCATCTATATCTCTGAATTTAAGAGTAAACAGGATTTGTGGTAATTTTATTATTATTAATGCGATTATAATTTAACTTTTATGTTCTAGGGTACATGTGCAGGTTTGTTATGGGGATTTGTTGTGCAAATTATTTAATCACCCAGCTATTAAGCCTGGTACCCATTAGTTATTTTTCCTGATCCTCTCTCTCCTCTCACCATCCACCCTTAAGTAGGCCCCAGTGTGTTCCCCTCTATGTGTCCACGTGTTCTCAATATTTAGCTCCCACTTATAAGTGAGAACATGCAGTATTCGGTTTTCTGTTCCTGCATTAGTTTGCTAAGAATAATGGCTTCCAGCTCCATCCATGTTCCTACAAAGGACATGATCTCATTCTTTTTTATGGCTGCATAATATTTCATGGTGTATATGTGCCACATTTACTTTATCTAGTCTACCATTGATGGTCATTTGGGTTGATTTCATGACTTTGCTTTTGTGAATAGTGCTGCCATGAATGTACACGTGCATGTGTCTTTATGATAGAACAGTTTACAGTTCTTTGTGTTTATACCCTGTAATGGGATTGCTGGGACAAATGGTAGATCTGTTTTTAGGTCTTTGAGGAATCACCACACTGTTTTCCACAGTGGTTGAACTAATTTACATTCCCACCAACAGTGTATAGGCGTTCTTTTTTCTCCACAACCTTACCAGCATCTGTTATTTTTTGACTTTTCAATAGTAGCCATTTTGACTGGTGTGAAATGCCACCTTCCTTGTGGTTTTGGTTTGCATTTCTCTAACGATCAGTGATGTTAAGCTTTTTATCATATGCTTGTTGGCAGCATTTATGTCTTCCTTTTAGAAGTGTCTTGTCCTTTGCCTACTTTTTAATGGGGTTGTTTGTTTTTTCTTGTAGATTACTTTAAGTTCCTTATAGATGCTGGATATCAGACCTTTGTCGGAAGCATAGTTTGCAAAAATTTTCTCCCATTCTGTAGGTTATCTGTTTACTCTGTTGATAGTTTGTTTTGCTGTGCAGTAGCTCTTTAGTTTAATTAGATTCCCATTTGTTAATTTTTTGCTTTTGTTGTGATTGCTTTTGATGTTTTTGTCATGAAACCTTAGCCCACTCTTATGTTGAGAATAATGTTGCCATTACCAGTCCCTACAAAAACACACTTAAGTACACAGACCAGTGACACTATAAAGCAAGCACACAGTCAAGTCTGCATAATAACCAGCTAACATCATGCTGACAAGATCGAATCCACGTATATCAATACTAACCTTGAAAGTTTAATTGGGTTAACTACCCCAATTAAAAGGCACAGAGTAGCAGGATGAATAAAGAACCCAGACCCTATGGTAGGCTGTCTTCAAGACACTCATCTTACATGCAGGATCAAAAGAAATGGATGGAGGAAAATCTACCAAGCAAATGTAAAACAGAAAAAAGCAAGGGTTGAAATCCTAATTTCAGACAAAACAGACTTTAAACCAGTAAAGATTTAAAAACAAAAAACAAAACAAAAAAAAGGGAATAACATAATGGTAAAGGGTTCAATTCAACAATACCTAACTATTCTAAATATATATCCACTCAACATAGGAACACCCAGATTCATAAAGCAAGTTCTTAGAGACTTTCAAAGAGACTGACACTCCCACACAACAATAGTGGGAGACTTCAACATTCTACTACAGTTTTAGACAGATCATCAAGGCAGAAAATTAACAAAAACATATTCAGGGCCTAAACTCAGCACTGGCTCAAATGAACCTGATAGACATCTACAGAACTCTTCACTCAAAAACAAAAGAGTATACATTCTTCTCATCATCGCATGACACATACTCTAAAATCAACCATGTGGTCAAACAAAGAACACTCATCAGCAAATGCAAAAGAATTGAAATCACAATAACCACTCTATCAGACCACAGCACAATTTTATTATTTTCTGAAAAAAATTTATTATAATTGAATGTGTAAATTTTTAAATAATTTTAGAAATGATAAAAATGCTCATGGGAACATGTATTCCTAATTTGGAAAACAATAGACTTCTTAACTATATTAAATTCAGAAAGCATGTAGGAATGTATAACTGTGGTACAGAAAACAGTTTTCCTTATTTCTTCTAGCCTGTATACTCGAGGATGGTTAGTCTTGGCATAAGAGTGGGCAAGTTAGGAGGTGACATTGCCAATATTTTTCTCAACAGTTTGATGTTAAGAGCAAATATTACCAATTGACCAAAATGTTCTTTCCTAAAGGCAGGGGCTTCCCCTGGAGCAGTGTTTCTAAACACTGTTTGCTCATTAGAATCACTGGAAAGCTTTTAGAGTTGCCAATACTTAGGCTGCACCCCAGATGAATTAAATTAACCTTGGAGGGTGGGCACCAAGGCATCAGTATTTTCTAAAACTTGCCACATGATTCCATGTGTGGCCAAGGTTGAGAATCTCTGTTAAGAGACGTAGCTGAGCTCACTCTTCTCTGTCACTTATATTACATTCGAGATCTTCAGGTCTACCTACAGTTCTTGATATGTTTAGGTAATGTTAAAGAATTTAGAAAGCCTTTGAGGAAAACAACCAAACACAAAACCCAAAACAGCCCCCAAATCCAGGAAGTGATCTGATACTGAGACAGGACTCAGTATGTTGCTCCAAGCTGGC